GAAGTTTATAAATTCCTTTCATTTATAGCATGTCACTTATGCTGATTGTAAAACTATAGTAAATAGTGTGATATTGTTATGAAGGATTCCTTCATTTGTGATTTAAACACAAAACCTTTATACTATCCAACGCGATAGCATTTGGGATTGTATCTTAAGTTAAGTGCCTCAGCTGAGGACAATTCTAAGACCAGGAGTATTCACAACTAACGTGCTATACTGTAGAACAAGGTAAGATTTTACTTGCATCCAGTACTCTGAAGATTTATAGACTCATTTGGATTGGCAACATCGCCATTTCATGATAACAGATGCACGCAAGTATATTTACTTGAGCTGTCCCTAGATAGCACTGGTATGGTTAAGGAATGTGACTTGCATCTTCCAGCCACCTAATAATTTTTCCTGATTAAACCCTTTACATTTTACATAGTTACTGTTGCATATTGGATCAGTAACATTAACTATTATAATTTGTCTTGATGCTTTATTCCAAGTTTTCCCACAGTCACATTCTTGCAATGGGAAGTAAAACAATGTTTGAAAATGCTTCCCAAGATAATTTACTTTAACGTACATATTTCATGTTAAGACTCTTGGTGCAGACGTAGGTTTTCCTAAGAATTAATTGGAAAACTTAACTTAGGATGGAACAACTGTTATCATCACAGTGCATTGTTGTTTGTATGCCTGACACCAGACTCCTGAAGGAACTGCTCTGCTCAGAACTCAGTTCTAGCAAAAAACTCCGGGGAGAACAGTGGAAATGCTTTAGGAATGACCCCAAAGCATCTGTGAAGAAGCCAAATGTCCATGTTGACTCATGGGAGTCTCTGTCCTGTGACCAAAAATAAGAAAGTGCTTTCGGGAAGACACTGAATACATCGAGAGACTTTGTTGGGAACACACAGTGGCAAAGTTGAAGTATTTGTGAAAGAGCACAAACCTCTTAACAACGCATCACCTGCCCCACATGTGGCAAAGTCTATAGATCGCACATTGAACTTATCAGCTATCTCAGAACCCATTGGACTAGAATGGAAATGTGTTTTTTTTCTCAATTTCAAGGGACTGCCTAAGAGAAACAGAAGTTTCATGAAATACTTGTTTACAAAATATAAGGCTGTTGTAACTTTGAAACTTTTATGGGCATGGTTCAACCTTGATAATATTAACAGGGTAAAATGTAAACTATTTGATAAACTTTAAAGATGAAAATTTGGATTTTGCAAAGGAAAAATTAGAGCAGAAATACCCTATTTGCGATTTCCAGCATTGGTAGCAATTTGCTCCAAAGTACTAATGTGACCTGCACTACTGGAAATTTGTTAACCATGCTTTTTCTGAACTGAATTTTGCAGAACCTCTTCATTATTGTGCTTTTTGCAAAACCATTGTTCAAGGGAGAAATTGAAACCTTGGAGAGAGGGAAGCCACTTCAGAAAAATTACAGATGAGTGTTTGAGCTAATTTTGTTTTATGTTTGGTCTTTCTTTTATGTGATAACTGTAACTTGAGTAGCATTTAACTACCCTCAGGGAAACTTAAACTACCAAGTCACCAAATAGCCTGCTAAACTGAAATGGAAATATATTCTGCATTGGTTACAACCTGAAGTGGATCTACATGAAATAATGGTCACTTTTTTTTAATGTTCATAGCTATATATGATGCTTAAACAGTTAAGATTTCTTCAGCCCTGACATGAGCAAAAAATCTATTTTACTGGAAGATTTGAAACATGCTGATTATCTGGTGTACTTTCATTTTAAAATAATAGGTTTTTCCGCGTGCACTTGGTTGCTTTCTGATAGTGATCAGTCTGTTGTTAGTTGTGCGATATGTGTTTAATAAATGAGCTATCATTCATTGCTGCTCTCTTATCAAAATAGGTGATGTCAGTAGGAGTTGTATTTGGCTTTGTTTGCAATCAAATTTTAAGGTCCCAAAATTAAATATGAATTTCTAGGCTAAAGCTGGAAGCATTTAACTACATTGTGCCTAATAAAAAAAAAAAGAGCATTTGAAATGCATTGGATCAAGGACCTGGGTAACCAGCTGAATTGGGACCAGGCACAGAGCTATGCACAGTTGAATCATTTTAATGAAAATGATAAGAGTTGAAGCAGCATGGCAGAATGAGTATGCCGGTGTAGCAGCAGGGAAGTTGTGGTGACATGGAGATGTAGGATGCAGGTTGGCACCCACGATTCCTACACAGTTGTATGTCTCATTATTTTAAATCCACATAACCCCACAACTGACATTTTTATTTCCAAAGGCCTCATTAAAATAATGAGCTATTTTAGAAATGAAAGCAATAAAAATTGGTTTGTTTTTAACGACCTACAAATAACAGTGTAATGAAGTGCATTTGTCTTTGATTTACAAATTGAGTGAACTGTGGTTGTATGTTGGGAAACCTAGGTGAAATCTTGTTACTTTGATGTTCTGCTTGTGTGGTAAAGAATAACTTAATGGTTTCCTCGCCTCTTTTGCCAGGAGGAGTATAGTCAATAAATCTGTGGTTATCGTGGAATGCTAGTTGATGTCCTGTGACACTGCTCACGGCAAGTCAGATGATCCTGTGGTACATGATACCGTGGGATGACTACACCACCTGGTGCCCTGTAATCTGCAACTACAGTGCCACCAGGACCTGGTTACATGGGAAATTTGCATGAAACTTGATGACATGGACAATTACAATGTTGGACATTGAGATGAAAGAAAAGACCAAACATTGTGGCAACAGAAAGTGGAAATTCAGATTAGTTAGTGTATCAACTGAATTTTTTCAATAGAATGTTGTTTTTCAAAAACAAACATTTCAAGTAAATGCTACTTTAAGTAGGGTATCTGACAAAAAAGTTTCCAATTGATTGACCAAGAACATTAAGTGGCTGGCATTCTGTTCAAATTCACAAAATGAAACTTCTCAACAAACTAAAAATTTAGCAACTTACTTCAGGCGCAATGTAGCTGAAAATTTGTTCTCCTTGTAAAAGAAAAGTAACTGTAAATTATCTCTAAGTTCTGTGACATGAATATTTGGGAATGAACGTTGGTGCCCATGGTAAAGGGGTGGTCTTCTGTTGTACAGTTGTCTTGGTGAACATTTGTTATCAAATTGATGCAACATGAATTGATGCTGGCTCTGGATTTGTAGCTCTGATTAGCCTTCCATGCAAACTGCTTGAGCTGGGCTGCTTTGAGGCATTCAGTATAGACTGGATGCTTCTTCCTAAGAAGAAAGAAAAGTCATTGAACATTGAATTATTTGGGCTGTTCCAACACATCCCTGCTCCTGCTCCTCTACAACTTCTGTAGTTTGGACATCTTTCCTAATGTCGTTGATCAAATTGGAAAAATAGGACCACAATGAACTGTGGAGATAGAAACATAGAAACATGGAAGATAGGAGCAGGAGGAGGCCATTCGGCCCTTTGAGCCTGCTCCGCCATTCTTCATGATCATGGCTGATCATCCAACTCAATAGCCTAATCCTGCTTTCTCCCCATAACCTTTGATCACCTTCACTCCAAATGCTATATCTAGTTGCCTCTTGAGTACATTCAATGTTTTGGCTTCAACTACGTCCTGTGGTAATGACTTCCGCAGGCTCAGCACTCTTTGGGTGAAGAAACTTCTCCTCATCTCTGTCCTAAATGGCCTACTCTGAATCCTGAGACTGTGTCCCCTGGTTCTGGACACTCCCATCATCGAGAACATCCTCCCTGCATCTATCCTGTCCAGTCCTGTTAGAATTTTATAAGTCTCCAGAAGATCCCCCCTCATTCATCTGAACTCCAGTGAAAACAATCCTAACCTAGTTAATCTCTCCTCATACGTCAGACCCGCCATCCTCGGAATCAGTCTGGTAAATCTTCACTGCGCTACCTCGAGAGCAAGAGCATTCTTCCTTAGAAAAGGAGACTAAAACTGCACACACATTCCAGGTGTGGTCTCACCAAGGCGCTGTATAACTGCAACAACACCCCCTTGCTCCTATACTTGAAACCTCTCGCAATGAATGATAAGGAAATGAAGTGTGCATTAATTGTCTTTTTCGTTTAATTTGAGCAATAGAGTCTGCCAATGTAGAAGTGCCTTTTATACATGAGGTCTAAAGCCTAGAAATAGCCAAGACATTTAAGAGTGGTGCAGGATCTTACAAATCAAGAAATCATACTGTTCAATTAAATAATAGTGAGGTGCTTTGTCATTGGTTTACAAACTTTAATAGAAAAGTGTTCACTTTTTAAATATTTCCCACCTGCTATGCTATCTGTCCACTTTACACTAACAATGAATGAGTGGGTTTCTGATCCAAGGCCAATTGCAATGCTCTGCAGTTGCAGCTTTTATGTGGTGCCTGATTGGTTGCTGTCTCACTCTCCAGTTTTGTACTCTGGAGGGGTTCTGCCTGCTATCTACCTAAGAAACAGAGCTGAAATTAAGAGGTCGCAAAGAGAAGAAATAAAAACACAAAGTCTTGGGGTGGAGGTGGGGGGATAAAAAACTGATCAGTCATCATTTATTCATAGGAGAAAGGTCATGATAATGTGGAAAATTGGGTGGGGTGGTGAGGGTTAATAGAACCAATCCATGTCTCACAACATGTCAATGCTTCACCGAATGAACTGTGTTGTGCTGTCCAACTAATCAGTGATTGTAAAAAGTCTTCAGGTTTCAAAGAAATTTTTTTTGTTCATAATTACACTAAAGCTTTGTTTCTAATGTGTCCACTTTGACTGTATTAACTTGAAAAACATGAATACATTCCAGTTTTAAAAAATTAATTTGTGTACAATGATTTCAAAGTCCAATGATTTCTGTCACAGTTATGAGAAAAACAGACAGTAACTATGAAAACAATTTGCTGTTTTTTTAACATATTAATATAAATGCATTACTTTAGATAAAATAACTATTTGAACATTCGTAGCTTCAGTCTGTGAGCTCATTATGGATCTTCCAATCCTTTCCATATTTTCCAGTTGCTGGGATTGTTACTGCGGATTTTGCCTCCGGCCTGGTTCACTGGGGAGCAGACACCTGGGGTTCTGTTGATATCCCTGTCATTGGCAAGGTGAGGGCCGACTGGATGAATAGCATTTAATATGTGCATTGTCTTGTGAGCATGCTGACATCTGGGCCACAATTAAAAATTGTCTAAAAATAAGTGCTTTGTTTCTGTGACCCATTCACATTGTTACTTTCTCTTCACATACACACACACACCCTGCAAATGTTTCTGATCTTGTATTTACGCTTGAACGCTAATTCAGAGAGCTTCAATGTAAATTGGGCATGAACTAATGTGAACCAAATATACTAGTGGCTCCTTGTGGGCTAACACCAGAATCCATAGAGACTTGCATTATAGTAAGACCCTTCACTGAGAGGATCTTTCTTGAAAGAGTATTTTAAATGACCCAAAGATTTTGTTCGAATCAGATTAATTGAAATCAGCTTGTGACTTAACAGGGAACAGCTGAGAGCTGCTGAAAGAGACAGCATTATAATGCAGGGTGAAGCTTTTAAAAGGGCTACGTTATCTTGCAAGCTACACTCTGTGGGTAAACTATGTAACACTTGTTTTTTTTAAACCTAGCATTATTTTTGTGAGCTGTTTCAAATAATTTCTGAAAACATGCTTTCTGGAAATTCTAACTGCTAACCCGACGCATGTTAAATACCTTGAATTTATTTTGTGGAGATTTTGTCTTTCATTGTACTGCTGATGATAATCTCTTTGAATTGTTATGTGTATGGTTATTACAGATCCAATAATCTAATTGTGCAGTAAACAGGCACTAATTAATCTCATTTGTACTATGTCAACTGTACCTGCCTCAATTGTACCATTAGGGGAAGCATTGAATCAAGTCCCCCACCCACGGGGATAGAAAATTAAAAAGTAAGTCACGCTGGACCATTCTTGTACACCTCCAGTGAGCTGGTTTCAAAGGAGTGTTGACAAAGGCCTGTGAACAGGTTGTTCTCCCTTCCCCCACTCTATTTTCCAGAGAATCTGTATAGCAGGGGCACTCAAAGGGGAGAGGGAAGGAAAGCAGCTTTAAAAAAAGGAACCCTTTCTTCAGAATGTGACAGCTGAGACAGAGGGCAAGACTGCATGTACTCAGTGCACCCTCTCGCAGGGTATCTCAACATGTTACTTTCTGAACGGCTATGATCATGTTACCAACTCCGGCTCTCAATCTGGCAATTCAGGGAAATAATCGAGGGAAACAAGGCCTTTATAATGCAGCTGGTGGGACTGATTAATTTTCAGAAAAACTCTTCACGTAAAAGCTAGAAATACAAGCCCAAAGCAATGCTTCTCATATTTGGAGGAATGAAGGTAAAATGGGCTAAAGTTCAACGTGGAACAGTTCTTTCCTCCTGGACTGCAGAATAGTCTCTAGTGGAATGATTCGTTCTTGGAGCCTGGTATACATTACAGGATGGAATGCCAATGATTTGAGCTGAACTTGACTCCACCTTGTTGAATAGAAAGTAAACCTAATTACTCTGCAGTGAATATTTTGACTGTGGAATCTTACTGACTAAATATTTTTACATTTCTGCAGCACAACTAGCAACATCAGCTACTTGAGTGTTTTCTGCTGCTTTGGCAAATGAAAACTGAAGTGAGTTGAAAGGAATAATTGTCACCGACATTTGTTTTTACAGACTGTGTTTTCCTGTCTGAGTATTTCGAGCACTGGGTGCAGATTAACTATTCTCAGCCACCTGAAAAGGGTCCCCCTTACTAATCTAGTGTGTTGGCTCCTCTGAAATCAATGAGTGCGGTGCTCCAAAAATAAGGACTGTATGAAGCTTTATTTAAGAATAATATTTGCTTATAATAATAATGTAAAGGTATATGGACAAACTGTGTTAATTCATTATACCTAAATTTAAAGGTTTTATACTGATAATCATTAAAAAGCTTCGCTTCACATGATTTGTTTGCAGAATACTGTGAGTTTCAGCAATACTGAGTTTATAGGACCTTCTAATGCGTGTGATTTTAACAGTTCTGCTGGATATGAGTTTGACTTGCAGACATGAGTGTCAAGTTTGAAATAGCCAAAAAGAGCTTCCCTTGTTGTTTAAGGTGGGGGAAAAAGGCTGTGCTTGGCATGATGTTCAGTTCAGGGCTATCTAAAAGGGAAGGAGATGCAGCAAGGGAGGAACCTTTGGGTGACCAGAACTGTTGGATAGACTAAGGTGGGTGGCCTGGAGAGATCAATAAAATCTGCCTTTGAGGTGGATCTGAGAGGATCCATTGGCAAGTATTGTGACTAAAATAGTGTCATTGTGACTAAAGAGGAAGCATGTGCATGAACTAAGCTATTAATAAAGTTAGATTTATGTGTTGTTCAGTAGGTAGAATCTTCCCAGCCCTAAAGGACATGGGCATTGGCGAGCCATTTGGAAAAATACATCTCCAACCCATTGAGAATACAGTTCTGCACTTCAGTGCTGCACTTTGGAATACGCTATCATTGGAATGCTACTGCCAGTACATAGGGACAGACATCCAGTTTATTTCTTGGACCAGGGTGCATATCAGGGCTCCTCACTTGGCCTGTTAGTGTTCACTCACTTTGTGGCTATTTGGGTACACACAACATCTCTGGCTTGCCTTGCCTCTTTGTGCTTTGCCTTCATTTAGAGCTTAAAGACCCACAGTACTTCTGCCATGGCAGATGGTAGAATTTGAATGCAATAAAAATCCAGAAATAGGTGTCTAATGCCAACCATAAAACCATTGTCGATTGTCAGTAAAAAACCGTGTAGTTTACTAAAGTACTTTAGAAACTGCTGTCCTTATCTGGTCTGGCTTACATGAGTGTCTAGAGCCACAGAAATGAAGTTGAGTCTTAACTGCCCTCTGAAATGGCCTAGCAAGCTAATCAGTTGTAACAATCACTAGAAAATTTCAAAGAAGGTAAAAGGCCTTGTCATGACCTACCCACCAGAAACTATAATGGCAAAAACAGCTCTGTCAACCCTATAACAAGAGCCTCGTGGCAAAATTGGGAGGGCTATCTCACAGAATAGACCAGCAACAGCCTGACGCAGTCTTACTTAGAACCATACCTCCAGACAACATCTCAACAGCACCATCATCGGCCCTAGGTATATCCTGTCTCAGCAGACGTGGTGTGGTGCTGTGGTATACAGTCAGGGTGTAGTTCCGTGAAAGTTCTCAACATTGACTGTGGACAAAATGAAGTCCCATGGCACCAGGTCAAACTTGAATAAGGCAACCTCCTGCTGATTACCAAATACCATCCTCCCTTGGCTGACGAATCAGTACTCCTCCATGTTGAACAACACTTGGAAAAAGCACTGAGGATGGCAAGGGCGCAGAATATATTCTGAGTGGGAGATTTCTAAGTCCACCACTAAGTGTGGCTTGGCTGCAGTGCTACTGATCGAGCTGCTCCGGTCCTAAAGGACATAGCTGCTAGACTGAGTCTGCTGCAGGTGGTGAGGGAACTAGCAAGAGGGAAAAACATACTTGACCTCACCCTTACCAATCTGCCAGCTGCAGATGCATCTGTCCATGACCGTATTGGTAAGAGTGACCATCGCACAGTCCTTGTGGAGATGAAGTCCCGCATTCGTGTTGAGAATACCCTCCATGGTGTTGTGCAGCACTATCACCATGCTAAATAGGACGGACTTCAAACAGATCTATCTAAGAATGGGTATACATGAAACACTGTGGGCCATCAACAGCAGAATTGTATTCCTGCGTAATCTGTAACCTCATGGTGCAGCATATCTCCTACTCAACCGTTACTATCAAGCCAGGGGATCAACCCTGGTTCAATGGAGAGTTCAAAAGGACATGGCAGGGGCAGTACCAGGCATAACTAAAAATGAGGTATCAACCTGGTGAAGCTACCAAACAGGACTACTTGCGTGCAAGCAGCATAAGCAGCAAGTGATAGACAGAATTAAGCAATTCCACAACCAATGGATCAGATCTAAGCTCTGCAGACTTGCCACATCCAGTTTTGAATGGTGATGGACAATTAAACAATTCATTGGAGGAGAAGGCTCCACAAATATCCTCATCCTCAGTGATGGGGCAGCCCAGCATAATGCAAAAGATAAGGTTGAAGCATTTGCAGCAAACTTCAGACTAGTGCCTAGTGGATGATCTATCTTGGCCTCCTCCAATGGTCCCTAGCATCAAAGTTGGCAGTCCTCAGCCAATTTGATTCGCTCCATGTGGTGTCAAGGAACAGTTGGAGGCACTGGATAGTGCAAAGGCTATGGGCCCTGACAACATTCTAGCAATAGCAGAGAAGACATGTGGTTGAGAATGTATCCCCCTAGCCAAACCATCCCAGTACAGCTACAACACTGGCATCTGCCCAACAATTTGGGAAATTGTCCAGGTACGTCCTGTAACACAAAAAGCAGGTCAAATCCAACCCAGCCAATTACCGCCCCATCAGTCCACTGTTGATCATCAGTAAAGTGATGGAAGGTGTCATCAGCAATGCTGTCATGTAGCACTAACCTGCTCAGTGACACTTGGTTTGGGTTCCACCAGGGTCACTCAGCTCCTGACCTCATTACAGCCTTCGTTCAAACATGAACAAAAGAACTAAATTCCAGAGTTGGGGTGTGAGTGATAGGCCTTGACTGTGCCAATTCCAGGAGCAGAACTGTGACATGAAGGAATGAATGTCCATCATATCCTTGAGGCTGCACTAAAGTTTGATGAACTTGGTTGTTTTCAATGATCCACTGGGGCCCTGTGTGGGATCTCACAAACCTCAGTCCACAAATGTATCAAGGCTGTCACTGAGGAAATTTGTGACAGATCACGCCACTTCTTGTTTCTTTGTGATGGGGTCAGTGCTGCAGCCCAGATGGCTGACTTTGTGAAGAAGTCAACACAGTGTGGAGCTGGAGGAACACAACAGGTCAGGTGGCAACAGAGGAGCAGGAAAGTCGACGATTCGGGTCAGGACCCTTCTTCAGAACTTGCTGCCTAATCTGCCGTGTTCCTCCAGCTCCACTCTGTGTTAATTCTGACTCCAGCATCTGCAGTTT